AAAAAAAAATCATATAAAATGGGCCAGGTAAGGTGGCTCACTACATAATCCTAGCACTCTGGGAAGCCGAGGAGGGTGGATTGCCTGAGATCATAAGTTCGAGCTCAGCAGGAGCAAAAGCGAGACCCTGTCTCTAAAAATAGCCAAGGCACTGTGACAGGTGCCTGTAGTCCCAGCTACTTGGGAGGCTGAAGCAAGAGAATCACTTGAGCCCAAGAGTTTAAAATTTCTGTGAACTGTGATGCCATGGCACTCTACCAAGGGCAACAAGTGAAAAGAAAAAGACATCATATAATATACATACCACCTATGGTCACATCTCAAAAAACAAAAAGGCATCATATAAAATACATACCACCTATGGTCACAGATAAAAAGAAACAAAATGTAAAAGGGAACTAAGGGGCAGCGCCTATGGCTCAAAGGAGTAAAGCGCTGGCCCCATATGCCAGAGGTGGCAGGTTCAAACCCAGCCTTGGCCAAAAACTGCAAAAATAAAATAAAGTAAAATAAAAAATAAAAGGGAACTAAGATGAAACTATTAAATTTTCTTTGCATTTAAATTAAATTTTGCCTCTATAATTAAACTACAGTTTATTATATTAAACATATTAAACACGATAAAGAAGATAGGAAATTATATCTCTACAAGCCTTATCATGGACAAAAATCTGTAGGAATTAATTTTGACCACCTAAAGGACTCCCTGGTAATTTCATAATCTCTATACATGACCTAGTGTAAGTTAATATGCCAAACAGAGCTAAACATCCCACTCAACAACAGACAACACACAGAACTCTAGGTCAGTGACAAGGCAGAACTCACCCATGCACACCAGGCTCCCTGGAGGTGGCAAGTGCCTTCCACTGTGTGAGGAAGCCTCCTCGTGGCCAGATGGAGCACTGCTGCTGCCTTGTAATGAAACTCCTGCTTTGCACTTTCAACCTGGCCTACTGCATGTACCTAAAATCACTATGAGGGCAGGGATTTTTTCCACTTTTATTCTATACCCCAAATGCCTAGAGAAGTATATGGAACACAGTAGGCACTACATAAGTATTTGCCACATGAATGAATTTCACTTCTCTATAAATTCCTTGAAGAGAGAAAACACATGGCTACTCTGGCTATCAGTATGTCTCATTCTTATAAGAATACACTGCTTTTGGCTCAGCACCTGTAGCTCAGTGGTTAGGGCGCCAGCCACATACACCAGGGCTGGCAGGTTCAAACTCAGCCCAGGCCTGCTAAACAACAATGACAACTACAACAAAAAATAGCTGGACACTGTGGCAGGCATCTGTAGTCCCAGCTACTTGGGAGGCTGAGGCAAGAGAATTGCTTAGGCCAAAGAGTTTGAGGTTGCTGTGAGCTGTGACACCATAGCACTCTACCAAGGGCGACATAATGAGACTCTGTCTCAGAAAAAAAAGTACACTGCTTTTGCAATTTTTTTTAACAAGGACAGAAATAATGACTAGGTCAGGCAAAATGGCTCAGGCAATCCTACCACTTTGGGAGGCTGAGACAAAGGATGACCTGAGGCCAGGAGATCAAATCCTATCTGACCAAGACAGTGAGACCCCCTTCTCTACAAAAAAAAGTTTTAAATAAAAACAATTAGCTGGGTGTGGTGGCACACACCTGTAGTCCCACCTACTCCTGAGGCTGAGGCAGAATTGTTTGAACCATGATTTTAAGACTGCAGTAAG